TGGAGCAGAATAGAGAAGGAGATCAGGAGTACTAGTCAGGAATTCGAGCCAGGAACTGGAGACGGCAGCAAAGAGGAAGCGGCAAAACAGCAGTATAAAAAAAGGTGAATTAAAGAAAACATAAACTTGTGAAAGAAAAAACGAGTAGCGGGTCCCCCCTATTCATGAAGCTGATGCTTAGGTAAAGCTGACAGATCTCAGCTTTACCTATGCAGATTTACCTTATTCGCTTTCAGCTTTACTTAAGCGTCAGTTTTGTAAATGAGGAATTCCCCTACTTATGTCGGGTTTTTTGTTTGATTTTACTTTTTTCTTGCTTTAGATTCACTTTTTTGATTTTGATTTTATTCCTGTGCCCAGGCTTGCTTTAATTCACTTTTTTGTATTGCTTTGTTTTCTTTTCCTCTTTACTGCTGTCTGCAGTTTTTGCCTCGAGCCCCTTATTTGTATCCTTGTTCCTTCTCTTTACTCTGCCCTGAAATCTTGTACGCACAGCAACATCTGAGCTCTTCTCCACCCCCCACTATAAAAGCACTCTGGAAGCAAACAATACTTCAGCCCTTTCCCTACCCCGGATATCCGCGGCAAAAACCAGGAGTACGCTTACCCCTCCTTTCCAGCCATCACCTCCTTCCCTCTCCATTACGTGACGTAGACAACTGCCAAAGGATCTACGCTACGTAGCCATTTAACCTACCCATCTCAACCCCTCCCCGTGCCTTGAATCCCAAACTTAAATAATCAGCGCACGGGCTGCCCAAGCGAAGATGCGTTTTTTGCATACTTCCCCGCAGTTTTTGTCCCTACCGGCACCGGTTTTTTCGGAAAATGCTTCAAGCTAAACAAATTAAGACTGGCCGCCAAAACTGTCAGGGAAACACCCCTTAAAATTTCAGCTTTTTAGCTTTCCTGGTTGTTCCTGAGTTAGCAGCTTACTGGAAAAAACTTTCACGGGCTCATACGTTGGTACTACGCATACCTGATGTCTGGGTTTGAGCTCGTTGAGGCATACGTGAACGGGAAACATCCTCTTAAAATTACAGTTTTCTAGCTTTTTAGGTTTTCGAGTTAACAAATTACCCAAGAACTTTGGTGAGCCCATGCGCGGGTACCACACGTACCCGGAGTCTGGGTTTGAGCTGAATGAGACCTAGGTGAATGAGGAATATCCCCTTAAAATTACAGTCCTTTAGCTTTTTAAATCTCTGAGTTGTCAACATATTCAAAAAAAAAAACTTTCACGGGCCCGTACGTGGGTACCACGCTTACCCATGAGCTGGTTTTGAGCTCATTAATACCTACTCGGATGGGAAACATCCCCCTAAGATTTCAGTTTTCTAGCTTCTCAGATCCCCGAGTTATCAACTTACCCGTGAAAAACTTTGGCGGACCCGTACGCAGGTACCAAGCTGGTAATGGCGCTCATTTGGGAATTAAGGCCCGTACGTGCATGTAGATTAAGTTCCCAAAGTTTCAGCCCTCTAGCTTTTGTAGGCCTTGAGATGAAAAA